TGGAGGTATCAGTCTTGACAACAAAGGGTCATGTTGGGTTGAGATGAGCCAGGATTGAGGTGGGGGTAAAGGACGAATGCTCATTGGGTCTTCGGAGACCAGCTGAAGGTGGTATTTTTGAGAAGTGCTGTCAATGGGGTGATGTGGCCTGAAAATCCAGAGATGAACAGCCTATACAAGTTAGTGAACCCCAGTAAGTATTGTAGCTCCTTGATATTTCGGGTGGGTACCCAGGTCTGTACTGCCTCCATCTTTTTGGAGTCCACTTAGAAGCCCTTGTGGGAGTGGATGTAGCCCAGGAACTCCATGAAGCACTGGTCAAAGCTACATTTTTCCACCTTTGCATACAGGCCATGTTGGCAGAGCCATTCCAGGACTGACCGGACATGCTCAGTGTGTTGCTTGTGATCCTCAGCAAAGATGGAGATATCATCTATGTAGACTACAACATACTGATCTAGGATGTCATGGAAGACCTCGTTCACGAAGTGCTGGAATGTTGCAAGGGTATCTGTGAGGCCAAACTGCATTACTGGGTACTTGTAGTGGCTATAGCAGGTTTGAAAATCTGTCTTCCACTCAACCCCAGCTTGGATTTGAACCAGGTTGTAGGCCCTGTGACATAACACTCCATATTCTTTATGGAAATATACTTATGATATGGATAGGACATATCAGATGTACTTTATGCAAGATGGCTCATGTAAGGTATCATTGGAAAGGTTATGATTTACTGAATGTGTTTATCCAATTTGTGTGCATGTATCATTTTTGTATCTGAAGCTGGGAATATTGACCATGTCTCTATATTTCAAATGTGCTACGTTGGATGAGGCCAAACAATGTTAGTGGCTTATTGAATAAATGACACAAGCATAAGGATTACCCCAGGAACTGTGTGCAATAGGAACCTCTCAGAGATAGCTCTATACAATGGGAACTGTTTGACCCAGGTCATAGCAAAAAAGCTTTCCAGCAAGTTGGAGGAAGATATAAAAGAGGGACAATGACAACATGAGGGGCCTCACTCTCCCTACAACAACACACCTGAAAACACCTGAGGAACAAAGAATGAACTGTGAGAAGTGATGGTCCCAGGCTAAGATCTTTAGCCTGTGTATGAAAACCTGGGAAAGCCAAGGCTACTGGTGCCTTAAGAATCTGCCTGCTTGTTTATCACTCAGGGTGAGAATTTGCTAATTTGTATCCTACCTATCTAGTGTGTCAAGCTTAATTTGCGTGTTTTGTTTAATTTGCTTAATAATCTGCTTTGTTCTGTTTGCTATCCCTTGAACCACTTAAAATCTGCCTTTTATAGTTAATAAAATTTGTTTTGTTTATTATTAAACCCAGTTTATGCAATTTCTTACTGGGGGGAGGAAGAAGTCGTGCATCTCTCTCTTCACATTGAGGAAGAGGGCGAATTTTATGAGCTTGCCCTGTACAGATATTTCTATACAGTGCAAGGCAGTAGTATTTTGGGTTTGCTTCCCAAAAGGGGTGGGCATGTGAGTGCTGGGGAAGCCCTCTCACACAGAGTGGACTTCAGTCTGTGTCTGCAGTGGAGTGTGGCCCTATCTTTGTGTGTGTGCTGCAAGAGACCAGAAAGCCTAATTCAGCAAAGCAAGGAGAGGGAACCCAGGCTGGTTGAGCAGGGGAGGCTCAGTTAAACCCCAGCACATCAGGTGGCACCCCGGACGAGGGGTGGGTCCAACTTGTGACAGGCCCCTCACAAGTCAAGTTTTGTGAATACCTGGACTGATAGCAAATGATCCAGTAGTTCTGGAATAAGTGGAAGAGGGGTTTTGATTCTTGATGATAACCTGACTGAGGGCCTGGGAATCCATGCGTAAGTGCGGGGTTCCATCTTTCTTTTTAAAAAACAGAACTGGGGCCCTGGTGGGAGAGGTAGATGGCTGAAAGAAACCCTTAGGCAGATTCTCCTGGAGATAAGAATGCAGTGCAGCACCTCAGACTCTGACATCGCATATAAATGGCCAAATGGCTCCTTGACCCCTGGCTACAGCTCGATCAGGCAGTCATAATACTAATGGGGTGGTGGGGTGTTAGCATTCTACTTCTCGAAGACGACACCACAGTCACTGTATTTGGGGAGCAGTGCCAAAGTCACTCTGGTGATGGTCCCACCTGACCCAAGGCCAGGGCCCAGAAGTGGGAGTATCTTGGTTCCAGGGTTTGTCAGGTGGTGTATATAGGTAGACTTGCTGGCAGAACTCAGACAGGAAGCTAACTTTGTGCTCATGACAAAGGACCTGTGGCTCATGAGTTGTCACCCACAAAATGCAAAGGATTATTGGGAAGTGTGGTGAGTGGATCACCTCAAAATGAAGGGCTTCCGATAGTCCTGAATGACAACTTCTAGAGGCACTGTTTCCTGTATCATTGGCCCCAACAACAAGAGTGAACCATCTATAGTTTCCAGTAGAACAAGGACCATCTTTATTTGTACCAGAATAGCCAAGGCTTGGGCCGTATCAGCATTTATAAAGTTGTCTGCTGCACAGGAATCTACCAGTGCCCACTGGGGGGGAATTTGGAAAGGCTCTCCTGTAACATGGCGGCAGATCCAGACTTTAGGCCACAGGGAGCACTCACTGTGCCTGAGATGTGCATCAGTGAGGAGTAGGGGGGATATTATCTTGGGGTTTGCCCAGGCAAATCCCCTCTACTGATCCTGAGCATAGTCATTTCCCGAACTGGGTCATGCTACAGCTCATGATGGGCAGTTGCATGGCTAGATCCTCAATAGAAACATAGCTCATGGCAGCGACGGCACTCTTTTTCCTCAAGGGTCACATGGCAGTGGGTGGTATCCAGCTGCCTGGGTTCAAGATCCAGGTTGGAGATGGGTACCAATGTACGCCAGTTGGGTGGTGGCCCATATCCATTCCTTTCCTTATGTCTCTTGTGGAGCCTGTTGTTGATGCATATGCCAAGGTCGATGAAGGCATCTAGGTTGGTTGGGGACTCCACATGAGCTAGTTCATTCTTAATTTCTTCACGTAGTCTCAATCAGAACTAGTAGATCTGGGCCATTTCATTCCACTCAGTGTCTGAGATCTTCAATAATAAGAATGAGGGAACATTTATTTTGTGTGGAATATAGGTGACTTTGGGATTAAAATGACTGATGTTCCTCAAAATGAAAATTGTCTGAGAAATATCATCCAAGTTAGGTTATTACCTTGAAAATGGAAAGCATCCTTAAATGAACACTTAATATTGAATCTTAATGTATACATTCCGTGTATACACAAAGGAAAAAACACAAGGGAAAGTATTAATAGTTGCATTAAAATGCTATAAAGCATAGAGAAAGTAGTAACATCATAAAATACTGTAGTGGGCTTTGGTCTTAATTAATACATCTAATATCCTGAAACTACTGTAAATGTTACTTCCTTGGGTTTCAAATGAATATGATCCTTATTTGATTATAGTCCTTCAGCGTTTAATGAGCATGGGAATCTATAATCTGCCTAGAGGAAAAACTGTGCCAGGCTGCACTTTATTGAATCCTACAATGTACAAACAGAGAACAGAAATGCAAACACAGCTGCCTAAGCAAAGCCTACAGGGATAAAGAAAGAAAAAAAAAAGATGAATTCAGAAGTACGTGAAATAATCCAACTCCTGAGATTAATCAAATACACAGCAAAACTATTTGATCTATTTTGTCCTTAATTGGCAACATTTACTTTCTTTCTTTAAAGAATATCACTTCCATGCCATTACGACTTCATTTATAACATCACTAGAAAAAGGGTTAACGAAAATATACTCAATCCCACCAAGTTTAACAGAAAGCTGCTAATTTATTTATAAATCCCTTCCCAAAATGAGTCAATGATACAGATACTTTTAAGGGTTGTTGTAGCAGACAAGCACTGATATACATATTGAATAATTCATAAATTTTCCTAATAATTGGCTGACATCTAGAATTAAATATGTATAAAATATGCAAACAATAATAGTAACTTAGCCAACAGAGAAAAAGATGAGTGCAAAACTATATTTTCAGCATTGTTTTTCAAGAGAAGTCTTATTTATCATATCAGCCTGATACAAAGACACATTAAAGGATTTTGTGAAGGAAAGGTCTGAATGAGATGGAAATAAAAGGGTGGAACAGGTTCTGGGAATTAAGGGCACAACCTAATTTATGTCTCTTTCCGATGAACCCTCTGGAGGCCACCAGCTGGCATGTGATTACCGTATCACATTAGGTCAGGACATTGACTGCAGGCACCAGGGGGTTAACGTCCAAGTGCAATAGGCCCATTTTTTTAGGGGCCAAACACAAAGTGTTAAGAACATTACCTCTTCTACAACTAGTCCCTCCCTGGTATTTTTTAAAAAAACATACTTTAATGATTGTATAGTTGTAATTAACTAAGTTTATAGAGTTTGGGGGTTCTTTTGTGTTGGGGGAGAAGGATCAGGACGGAGTATACATCATCACCAACCAATTCCTATATGCACAAGAAATACACAGAAGATATTAGTGATTTCACTTTGGTTACCATAAGCCAACTGGTACAAACAGAGCTTGAAATAAGATGTAGGTGAGCTAATGGTAAAAAACAGCTGCAATTGATCCAATAGCCAATTTTAAGTTACAACCACATTTTCCCCTCCTGACTTAGTATTGCCTATATTCCTGCTAAATACCAAGAATACAGGAATGTGATTCTGACATATTCATTTCTAAACAATATGAGAGAGAGAGAGAGAGAGAGAGAGTGTGCACGTGCGAGAGAGAAGACTATATTTTATCTTAAAAAAAAAAAAAAAATCTGACCTCTATATCAACAACATGAGGTAAAAGCCTACACAGCCACGAAAGTTTCCTTAAAGATACCTCCTTTTATTCACAAAAGAAGCAAGAAAGCTTTTCTACAAAGCAATTTGTGAAGAATGCCATTTTATAGTTTAATATTATCAATTTTTTTAAATGCATAAATAGAATTCCTTACCGTCTGTAGTCTGACTGATGGTGTTCGGCTAAGAGGACTTCCTACTGGGCTGAAACTCCCTGTGAAAAGACAAAGCTGTGAATTTTTGCTTGTTATCCCATTCTAATAAACCACTTTATTTTAAAAACATTATGTTAGCAGGACATGTTTCACAAAACTCTAATGAAAAGCAGCACCATCTTTCAGTTGCAACTACGCATCCTTCAGTCAGGAACAGTTGGAGGGTTTATCTAACTAATAGACCTGACACAAGGTTAGTTAATCCAATATTTCCATTCAAATGATTTGGAGCAATAGCACAAGCAATGTCCACATGCCACCTCGTGCTCAGAACAGACACTATTATCTAAGCTACACTGCCTTTCTTTTCATTGTATTTCTGAGTAGCGCATACGAAGTTTTCAGTCAGAAATGATCACAAAACCTCTCAAAGGAATTACTTCCTTATTTTATCTGAAAGAATAAGTATGTCTATTCAGTATCTCCCTTTGATCATCTGACTTCCTACCACAACACATCTTGATGTTTATTTTATTCACTCTTTATACAGTGCATTTGAAAAAGTGCTACTTGTAAATTTGTTCCTTTTGAAATTATTACATTGGCTAAACTCAAGAAAATCCTTTCATCATCTATGGATTTATCTTTTTGTTATTGGTTTCTTCTACTGTATATCTTCTAAGAAAACATCTTTAAAAGATAGAAACATCTGAAAATTGTTAAACATGACAATACTTAAATGCTATAGCTTTGCTCAAGATATTTCATCTTTCTTTTTTTCTCAAGCAGGTGGAGCAGAGGGAGGCCAAATATCATAGAGTGAAGCTCACCAGCTTTTTGCCATGAGACACAAAGGTTCAAATCCTAGTTTAGGTTTCAAGTAAAAATGAGTTCTAAGGTCTCACTCTAGTTTCCAACCACAAAACCCAACTCAATTTAGCACAACAGGTAATATCTGCTCATAAGAAGCCCAGAGTTTGAATAATGGGGATTTTTCAGGTTAAGATTCAGATGCATTGGCACAGATCCTTGGGAAACCTTGTACAACCTCCACCTGCACGATACCCCTGTTAAGCCAGTGATATTAGTCATATTCATAAGTGATTTACTCGTGAATGTTTAACGATTGGAAAATATTTATATATGTAATTAAATGGTGTAATGCAAGCTCAAAGGGTTACAATTTGTTAGGCCCTGATCTTGCAAATGTAATCCAGGTGCCTAAAAGGAAGATAACTGTTTAAGAGATCTATCTGGGGAGGTAGGTAGGTAAGAATGAGTTGTGTCTGGGTCATTGTTAGGCACATGCACAATTAGCACTGCACACTCAGAAGTTTCTGGAATTGGGTGTGGTAGTTTTGGGTATGCTCAATGGGTTCCCAGTAGCTTGACTGAGACTCCATTAGTAAGGCTACGTTTTAGTCAAGGGTATTTTTAGTAAAAGTAACAGACAGGTCATGGGCAGTAAACAAAAATTCACGGCCTGTAACCTGTCCATGACTTTTACTAAAAATACCTGTGACTAAAACTTGGGGGGAGGTGCCGTGGGTGCTGGGGGAGGGTGGCCGGCAGGGCACGGTCCGGGACCCCCACTGGTGGTGGTGGTGGAGCCGACAGGCTCCCTACCTCCCCCCCCAGCAGCAGCAGAGTTTGTGTGGGAAAGGAGGTAGAGGGTTGGGGCACGGGATGGGGTGAGGTGGACTCTGGGCAGCGCTTACCTGGGAGGCTTCCCAGAAGTGGCGACATTCCCCTCTCTCAGCTACTCTCAACCCACACAGGGAACCATGGTCAATGGGAGCTGTGGAGGTGGTGCCTGCAGGCAGAGGCAGCGCACAGAACTGCCTGGCCATGCCTCCACCTAGCAGCTGAGCGGGATGTCGCCGCTTCCAGGGAGCCACCCAGGTAAGCGTCGCCCACAGTCTGCCTCACCCCGCCTTCTGCCCCAAACCCTTGTCCCCTCTCATACCCAAACTCTGCTGGGGGGTGTGTGCGATGGCCTAATACTGCCCCAGCAGTGGCTGGTCTGACTGGCGCAGGGGCTGCCCGAGCTGCAGAAGTCACGGAATCCGTGACTTCCGTGAAAACTCGCAGACTTATCCATGAGGGCAAGTAGCTGGGGAAGCTGCTTTGAAAAAGGCCTTGTGCCCTCTGTGGGTTGGGAGAAGCCGAGCCACAGGAACAGAAAGCAGGCTGTTTCTCCCTAACACTGAAGCATTTTGCAGCAGGTTAGTGATATTGTTAATCTTCCTGGCAGTGCTAATTATAGAAAGGGGAAACGGGGAGGAAAAACTAATTTTTTTATTTTAATTGAATACTTGAAATGTTTGAGTTTAGCCAAACTGTTTTAGTTAAATTGTCTCAACTAGTATGATTCACCAACTTTTCTCTTATGTAAATGTGATGATAGGGAAAGAGTCACTTATATTTTGCTATTCTCAGTTTCTATTTTTCTTGTAACAGAGTTCCCCTCCCCTCGCCCCTATACTTAAAGTGAGTGGTTGGTTAGTTAGCTAGCTGAGTGATTTCAGTCGAGGAGAAGGAAGAGTCTGCATGGATTCCAGCTGAAGATTTCTACAAGCAAGTGGAGGGAAGATGTTGATGCAGTGCTTTTGATTCAGCAGACTGTAGAGATTTTGGTGATCAAAGACTAACTGAGACTCAGATGAACTCAACCTAAGCTTCTGGGAATTCAGAATTTCTTCTCACTGTGTTTCTGTGCGGACTGACCTGATTAGATTTAATTTCTTTTCTTTATGTTTATGTATCACTGTGAAGATTATGTGGATTATAAAATAGCTATGTTATGTTGTAGAAATTAAGTTGCTGTTAATAAAATTATTATAAGATTTTATAAAGTTGGTATTTAAGTCTTAAGTTCATTCCGTTTGTACTTTTTGGACTTGATTGTGGGGAGGTTGACCCTGTGGAATCCTTGCTGAAAATCCTTAATGACTGAATTCTGGGTCTCCAGGTGCTTTTCCATGAAGTTAGGCTTTTTTAGGCACTGGAGAAGGGCAGTAAAATAAACTCTAGCCACCCAAAGGTTACACAAACACTTACGCATGTGAGAAGCCTCCAAGTCAATGGGACTACTATACATGTGGCAAAGTCATTCATGTGCTTATATATTTGCTAGGGCAAGGTCTTAGTGTATCAAAAGTAAAATGTAATCACTATTACATACACAGTCTGTGCAAAGAATTACATAGGATTTAAAGGGAAACTGTACAGTCAAATTTACCAGTTTTTGTTTTAAAAAAACAACACAACTTGTGCAAAACTCAAGACCAACAGAAATGTTTTCATGATTAAAATCCAACGGAAATAGTTATTTTTTTTTAAACTTCAAACTTTCTAATGCCATTTTTTCAAATCAAACACACCAGCATTGTGCTAGTTTGTGAGAATCTGAAAGTCATATGAACTCAAAAGAGACTAAAAACAACTGAAATTTATTACTTTATTTTAATTCTCCAAGATGAGAGAACTGCAGAATGTAAACATGAAAAGAAACAGATTTGAAAATTCTTTCAATTTTAGTAATTTAAGACATTTTTTATAACAGAGATATGGAATTTTAATTACTTGTTTTTTTTAATCTCACAGTGCCCTTTTAAGGAAAATATATATTACTTGTCAGACCTAAGGCAACCCTCTTAGGGCCCGAACTGTACATCCTTACAAAAAGTGAGTAATCCTTTTCAGTTCATGTGCATAAGTGTTTGCAGGATTAGGGATTTAGGGCCACACTAGCATCTTCCAATCCAGCCTGAATAGGAGGCAGCACATAACTGCACTGCCTGAAGAAGAGGGCAGGGCTCAAATTGTGACTTCGAAAGATTTTACTCCCTTATTTAAATGGATTTATTATAAATTTGCTGTAAACCAAAATAACTGATTGAATCTTAGCTTTAAAAGTCTGAGACAAGGAGAAATCTTATTTAGAAAAATCCTTTTAAAACAAAGGTTTTTTGGTTTAAAGTTATAAAGTTAAAAAAAATAAAGTGCAACCATGTATATGTTTAATGCTTTCGTGATTCAAGAATAAATGAGTTAAAAATAAAATCTAGGTTGATTAATCCAAGAAATTATAATAAAGTAGGACTCGGTTTTGAAATGTAGTGAACCAGATGCTTATTCAAGGTGATGGTTGGAGAGGCACAGCATACGGAAATGTGGAGGGAAAAGCCTGATATATTAAAAAGAAATGTTTGTATTGATACAATTACAGCCCTATAAATGGATAAATCTACTAAAGAAAAAAACAAAACAAAACACACTGAGACAGAGGCAATGAAAAATGGAATATTCAAAACTAGTGTATGCACTTTAAAAATGTTACATGGATCTTTATGGGTTGCCTAGTGACTGTATTCCTGGCTCAAGTGGGGAACTAAAGGGTTTCCTGCAGGAACTAAAATCAGCTGGGCAATTAATGCGAATCCCTACTGCAAGTAACACCTCTGGAGACGCTTAGCCCTCTGGGGAGATAGCATATATTGGTTTGACCTGGTTCAAAAAGCCTGGCAAACTGAATTGTAAACTGTATAGAGTTTCTCACCCTGACATAGGGAGAAAAGTTGCTCATCATCAATCCAACAACAGAGGTGAGACTGTGACCAAGAGGGACAGGTCCCGGGGAGGACCTGAAGTACTTGGAACCTGCCAGAGTCTCCATGTGGAAGATGGGTGACACCTAGTAAACTAGGCAGATGTATAAGCAGTTTATTGTTTTTAAGGTGTTTTCTCTGTAACACATTTGTTCTGAATAATTAGTTCTTTGCTTTATGAAAGCTGGTTGGTCACTGCTTAACCCTGTCATTGCCCCTGAGAAAACAGGACTGCAAGTGTTGATCTAAACTAAAATTCTGCTGAGATGAACGATTTACAAGAGTCTGCAGCCCAGGTCTAGAGAAGAGACTCACGGGACTCTGCCCTGAGGGCAATGATGACTAGAGGCCTGAGACCTAAGAGAGCACCTTTAAGGTGGCCATGAAGGGGTAAGAGGTGCAGTTAGCTCAGGAACACATGCCACAAAGAAATTTTCCTGCTGTTTTGT